CGGACAGCCGAGTTTCGGTTTCTGCTCCAGTCCCGTCTGCCTTCCTCTCTCAGATGCTCCTGAACGGAAACTCTGGGACCGGGACACGGAAATCTCAAACTGCTTGATCACCTCCTGGTCACTGTCGGAAGACGTGGAGAGCTCTTCTTCATCTCCAGAGCTGTTGACTGGGAGCAAACGAGACCCGTGAGTCCCCTGCGTGGCCCGTGTGCCCCACTCAGAGAGGGACAGTCAAGGAAACAGAAGAGAGAAGAACATGGACAATTCGCCTGGGTCCAGGCCTACTCCAACTGGATGGAAAACATTTGCGGCACTTTTGAAATGCAAATTTGGGTCCAAAGGGATGAAACAAGAAGAGAAAGCTCAGGAAGGTAATTAGAAATACAGTATATGGCTCCACCCAGGAGAAATCACTGGGGAACCGGTCAGTCTCCTACCGTGCTCTCCAGCCCTGGTGCTGAGCTACAGCCCTGCTGACCGCTCAGGTCACACTGCTCTGGTCCTAACAGAATGGAGGACATTCTAGCCAGACATACATGTGCAGATCTCAGCAGTGTCCCTGGGATATACACTCCTCCTCCACTCGCATTTATTAAAACTCACAGAGTCAAGTCCTGCTTCAGAGAAGAGAGATTTGCAATTAAGCTTTTCCAAAAATTTCCTAGTTTTGAAGGCAGACTTGTTCTGTGTATTTTCACAAGTTTATACTAGTGATTTTCTGAATATTTCTCAGCATCAACCACCCAACTCAAATGCCCTTTAAGTCACTGGGATGTATTTGATGCTGACGAGATGATATCGTGAGATACACATAACAAGTAAAACACTAACTTCAGAGAACAAGCTAACATCTGTGTATCCATCATCTCCCCTCGCTGACGTTTCTTCATTCAGCACAAATCCCTAACACAGGATCATACAGTTCTAGTAATGGCAGTCCTCAGATGAGATCCTAACACACAGTCATACAGTTCTATTAAGGGCAGGCCTCAGATGAGATCCTAACACACGATCACACAGTTCTATTCATGGCAGTCCTCAGATGAGATCCTGACACAGGATCATACAGTTCTATTCACGGCAGTCCTCAGATCAGATCCTAACAGAGTATCTTACAGTTCTATTCACAGCAGTCCTCAGATGAGATCCTAACACACGATCACACAGTTCTATTAACTGTAGTCCTCAGATGAGATCCTAACACACAATCATACAGTTCTATTCACGGCAGTCCTCAGATGAGATCCT